GTCTGGTCAGAGGAGAACTGGCCCCCTGACTGAGCCTGGTTTCTCCCAAGGTTATTTCTCCATTCTGTCACCGATGGAGTTTTGGTTCCTTGCCGCTGTCGCCTCTGGCTTGGTTAGTTGGGGACACTTCATTTCCAGCGATATCGTTGACATGATTGCAAAGATATTATTTAAACTGAGCTGGATGTTGACATCACTGAATTCAATGATGAACTGTCTTTAACTGAAAAATGAGTGTTTACTATTGTCATTTTGCATTATTGACACTATTTTCCTAATTAATGCTGTTCAGTTGCTTTGTCACAATCTGTATTGTTAAAAGCGCTATATAAATAAAGGTGACTTGACTTGACTTGACTTGAAATAGAAATGCATCCTTGCTGAATAAACGCATTTCTTTCTTTCAAAGAAATCTGACCCCAAACTTTTGACTGGCAATGTATAGTTTTATATTAATATCTGTTATGATGATTACATTGCAAAGCCATTAAAATAATTATCGATGTGCAGAGTCATATATTTTTACTTTATATCAGAATTTTACTTCATATAATGTAATGTGTGAAAGACAATGAAGCATTTATCTTTTGTTTTCTTATATTTATTTTTGGATGAAGTAAACTTTTGCATTTTAGTTTATTATAATAAAAAAAAAACAATATTACAATAGGTCTGCATCTGCAGTACTGCCATATACTCCCTAGGGTGTGTGGACCACTTTTTAAAGACCCTTAATTAGACGGGTCTTATCTGGAGAGGACTTCAACTGAATTCTTTTTGATAGTTTTAAGCATTTTGCCATTTTGTTTGATCACTTGAAGCTAGTATGGCAAAGGTTTAATTTCTTGAATTTCAGAACTTTCAATCGAATCCCATTCTTCCTGTATCCACACTTCAGGTGCAGTTAGATGTTCATGTTTCTACTAGTTTTACCAGTACAGAAGCTCTATATGTTGCTGTTAGTCTGAGGAGAGATGTTGTTAATTAATAGCAATCAATATCCTCGACGCCGATATATTCAGTGTATTATTAAAAAGCAGAGTGGCACAACAGAACATCTTCACACTTTCAGAACCGTGCGTGCTATGGTATTTGAAATATGCTCTTGAATGTGTGTCTTTCAAGTTGCAGTCAATACCCACTGGGGTGGATTGAGACATGGGGAGTTAAAAGTATACAGCCAGCAGCCAGTTCAAGCTGGGACAGATAACCGATTCTCTATATTAGCTAAAACAAATTACCTCGTTTATTTGCTTAAGTTTTATTTAAGTTACATTTGAAATCTTTTGATGCTGAGAACATGTTCATATGCACTGGCATCATGTTGTGCCTTGCCTGAACAAGTTTTAAGCAGAAGGGGCAAAAATTCTGGTTGTCATGTTACCACATGGTGAAGGATTAGCTTTTGAAAATGAATTAGGTAGTGCTCAAATTTTGAACATTAACTTTTATTTCATAAATAAATAGTCTGTGATATGTATTGATCTGGTCTTAAAGGGATAGTACATCCATAAATGAAAATGCTGTCATCATTTAAACACCCTCATGTTCTTCCAAAAACTATGTAGTGTACAAGTGTGGCAAGAGGCAGAATAACATGGTCAAAGTCCAGTTCAAAACACAGACTGTGCAAAACTGTTTTCTCAGTACACAGTTATTTGAAGGAGCAGTCATTCTTTCTCTGACTAATTCACTTGTTCAAATGCATGTTATGACCGTCTGTTTTGAATACATACTTCAATCACTGTTGACAAATCAAAAAATGATGTAAATGATGCTTATGTCAAAACAAATAATTGCTCTTTTAATCATCACTTTTATCTTTGAAATCAATGTCTTATCACTCGCCATGACCCTCATTGTGCAAAGACGCTGGTGAATTGGGTTATCTGATTTTGACATTCAAGAACAAAATATGTAAAAAAAACAACAACATACAAACCAACATTTTAGCACCACACTGAAACCCCAGAAATGTTCTTGGGTGTAGGCTAAATGCACGCTTGTTAGTGGCTAGATAAAAAGAATAGAAAGATGGAGAAGGAAAAAATGGAGGAGTGAGGGGATTTGTTGCTGTAATTGAATAGATTTGGTTTGCTACCTCACAGCTGTTAGGTGTCAAACTGGGAAACAGTGTGTTTGTGTGTGTGTTTTAGCATGAAAGTTAACACATATTCTTATGGGCAAAGTAGCATGCATGTTTGTTAGTGTGTGTGTACATATGTCTATGCATCTGAGAATGAGAAAGAGAATTTGAAAAACCACATGCTGATTATTATTTCCCTCCTTTCTGACCACATAGTGTCATCCTTCTCAGCAAGTATCATTAATAGGTTTTGTTTTTATAGTGTCTTTTCAAAAACAGGTTTAACAGTGAATGTGGTGTTTATTATGCATAATTCCACCGGACTTGATCAATGTGTTTGTATCCAAGATGACTGAACGTTACTATTGACTGTCTTTTTAGTATTAATGCTAAATGGATAGTTCAGTCAGAAATTACAATTCTGTCATCATTTTCTTACTCTCATGTATTTCCACACCAGTATTTTCTTCCTAAACTTTTTTCTACCTTTTTCTTGGTAGGCCTTATCAGCCCTCATCTGATTCCCATGTAACATTCTTCTGACAGCCCTAGACAGTGTTTCATGGGTTGGTGATCAGTACAGCTTCTGAAGCTCCTCTAGCAGCCTTCTGGAGATGTTCTGTCCAGCTCTCTGAGTGAACAATGATGTAATGCAGGTACCTGACAGCAGACATGGTGAGGTCCCAGTGTGATTCATCTTCCTCTAAAGAAATTTTTATTTTTATTTTTTCAGCAAGGACCCATTACATTGATCAAGAAGTGACAGTAAATACATTTATAATATTACAAAATATTTCTGTTTCAGATAAATGCTGTTCTCCATCAAACAATCCTAATAAAACCATGGTTTTCACAATATATTAAGCAGCACAACTGTTTTCAACACTGATAATAATAAAAATGTTTCTGTAGCACCAAATCAGCATATTCAAATGATTAGAGGATCATGTGACACTGAAGACAAGAGTAATGGCTGCTGAAAATTCAACTTTACCATCACCAGAATAAATTACATTTGAAAATATATGAAAATAGAACAAAGTTATTTTAAACTGTAATAATGTTAGACAATAGTACTGTTTTTTCTATATATTTTTTTATAAATGCAGCCTGTGTGAACATAAGATTTTGAACAGTAGTGTAATTCGAAGAAGGGTGTTGTGTACATAGCTAAAAAAAAATTCATACTATACTTTCATTTTAGTCAGCAAGGAACCATTAAACTGACAAAGAAGTGACAGTAAAACATTTATAATATTACAAAAAAATATGTTTCAAATAAATGCCATTCTCTTGAAATTTCATCAAATAATCCTAAAAATCAGTTTCCACAAAAATATTAATCAGCACAACTGTTTTCAACACTGATAATAAAATTTTTTTTACCGAGCATCAAATCAGCATATTTGAATGATTTCTGAAGGGTCATGCAATTTCTGAAGATCCCTTCTTCAAAGTCTATGCCCGTTTTTATCATCCACAAGGCAAAAATAATTGATCGGATCATTTAGAAAAGTAATGGCTAACCACAGAGCCCCAAGTTTGGACAATAATTAAAGTTTGTTTCATAATTAGTTTGTATTGGCAACTCATGTTCAGACATACACAGTTTCAGTATTTGAAAATTGCATACCCAGCCACACTACACAAACACCCTCCATTCCTTTTCCTGCACGGCCACACACACACACACACACATTCATTTGATATGCAACACAAAGTGTGTGTGTGCGTGTTTATGCATGTGCATTCTCAAGTGTGTGTGCTTTAAATGTCAAGGGTGTGTAGGTTTAGCATTTCATTTAGCATACAATTAAAAACAGGAAGAGTAGGGATAAGAAAAAGATCATGAAAGAAGGGAAGTTAGGAGAGGGCAAGTCACCAAAATGAAGGTGGGTGGTGGAGGAGGACGAGGAGGGGAAGAGGATAAACAGAAACATTTATTGAGAAGATAAATGGAGGAAAAGAGAGATGGTGAAAAGGCTAAAGAGAAATTAAATATAGGGGAATGAATCAAGTGAAAATAGCAGATATGTTGAATAAATAGAGTAGCTGGAAGAGGAAATAGCAATACAGTATGAGGTATACACCTCAGAGAGAGAGAGAGAAAGGGAGAGAGAGAAAAGACTGGAAAATGAAAGAATGGATATTTCTATAAAACTTATCACAATCCATCATTACAGAATTGCAGCACTAACAATTTAAACTGCTAATTTAGCAAATGAAAATAACTTCTTTTTTTTTTGTTGGTGGGAATCATTATGGTGTGGTTTTAATATACTGAATATTTGATACCCTCCCTGTACAACTGAGAGAAGATTTTAAGTAAGCCGCATATATTTCCACCCACTGGTAAGAAATGGTATGGCAGCCTATTGAACGAACACAACGAAAAAAAGAGAAAGATACTGAATAAAACAGTATTTTTTTTGTCTTATTATACTGCACGTAATATGGATCTCATAATGAAGCCCTAGCTTGTGAATATTAAGTTATTTAGAAACACATTAACATATTCTGTTACTGTTGTGATAAATAGTCTATGGATGATCATGTCTAGTGTAGAGTATTTGCCTTTTTCCAGGTCAAAACTGAAATGAATAATAAAAACCTGATTATAAATATCCAATAAATGTTCAGAAAGTTGCTATTTTCAATATAAAAGTCCCCAATACACAGTAGTTAGTTCATATTTGCAGTTGCCTATATTTTTACAGGCCCCATCAAAAAATTATCTGGTGATTTTATTCTTGGCAGCATATCAAAAGTCAAAAGTGTGGTCTGTTTTGTACTAACCTTTACTTTATCCTAGTAGCACATTACCTGCATTAACTCCAGCTTTGATCCAGTATAATCTGCACGTGAACTCTGTTGCATGCAATCCTATTACAGTATTAGACTTCCTCTACTGCTGTGAGTCCAGATGATTTCCAAGTATAGAGGCAGGCAGCACTAAAATACTATTCATTCATTTGATTAAGATAAACTCAGCAGAAACAGACCAACGAACAAATGCAGATCTAAAAGACCAGAGAGTTAGAGAGAGATTTGCTGGAAAATGCTGAAGGAATGAATGAGTGCATAGAAAGGGAGAAAACGATGGAAGGAGAGAGGAAAAAACGTGAGTAGGAACGGGAGGTCAGTTCTAATACTGATAAGACCTTATCATGGCCACCACACCATCTCACTCTACTAGAAAGAATGGAGGCAGTGTTGGACAACTGTGTGTGTGTCTGGCAGGTGTGTGTATGCGTTTGGAATGTGTTTGTATGTGTATGTCAGATTAGTTTTTGTTTGTTAGAGTTGTGCATGTGTATTCTGCAACTGTCTTTACTCCTGTTCCACTGGATCCCTCATATTGGGCTGGCGGTGTTCATCTGGCAGTTCACGCACAGGAAGATTCAATTAGATGCTAATCATATCTACGGTATGCATAGTGTTTGTGTGTTTGCATTCATATGTGTATAAAAATAAAAAACTGCATGTTGTTTTATGTCTGTACTTTGTTGTGGCAGTATGTAGCCTTGTGTGTGTGTGTGTGTGTGTGTGTGTGTTAGAGTGTGTTAGAGTGTGTATCTGTGTGTTGAGTACTAGATGCCATGTTTCAGCGGTCAAGCAGCCAGATAACCAAATGACACAGCACTTTTATGTTCTGATGTCACAGTAAGCAAGCATTGCTCATAGGGGGGTTGATATATTTATAAAATGGGAGTGGCTTATTAAACATTGTCCAAGGGCTGTTTGATTCCAGAATTTTGGAATTCTTGAAGTCAATTCCAAGAATCGGAAGCTACTTGATTCTTAAGAATAAATGGGAATGAACTTATCTTATCTTAATGGGAATGTATCTGGCAATAAACTGTCTAATGGTATGTTTTACGCTAACATGATTGATAGTATGAATGGCACAATATCTTGACATTTCTTATTAAAATTAAATGGGTCTATGTAAGTCTATGTAGGTCTATGTATAGGTCTATCTTTGTAAACACACAGTAACTTACCTTAAAATCATAGTTTACCCAAAAATGAAAATTCAGACATTATTTCGTTCCAAACCTTTGTGACTTTCTCTCTTCTGTGGAACATAAAAGAGGAATGTTGAAAACAAGAAGAAAACATTTTGAAGAATGTTGGTAACCAAACAGTTTTGGTTCCCGTTGACTTTCATTTGAGGTTTTGTTCATTCAATGAAAGTCGATGAGACCTGAAACTGTTTGAGTACCAATTCTTCAAAATATCTTATTTTAAAAGGCTCTGAGAAGACTCTGTCAGCTGAGGTGGAAACCTCATTTAAAGCATTTACGGTCAGTTCGAAAACAATTAACTTGCCATTACTTCTTTAATTGCCTTTAATGATGCTATCATTTTGCCGTCCTTTTAAAATCTGTTTTTAAAATTAGTGTTGTTGTGAATCTGAATTGAAAAAATCAATTGAGTAACAGATTCAAAGACTACAAACTGGTGTAACACACAGAAAGAGTCATGAATGAATGAATGAATGAAGCTAAATGTGTTTTATTTTTATTTTTTGTAAACAGGATCAAAATATTCAAGTGGAAGTGATGAATCAAAGTCTGAACTATGTGCTGGTAAGGCTCTTCTAGAAAGTGTAGTAGTAGTATTTTGGCAATCAGTTTAATGGACATAATGTAGTTACATCACTTTCTTCTATGTGGTCACTTCCCCTCAGTAACTTTTGGGATTGACCGCCAGCCCTGTGATCTTTATCAGCGATAAGATTTAAAACTAAGGAGACTAAACTTTTACAAAATTTTTTGTTTTGAAAAACTAACTTACATTAAATGTCAGTAATAATTTAGGTATTTTTTTGGTTTATTTATTTTTATGTATGTGTGTGTGTGTGTGTGTGTGTGTGTGTTTATACATATATATACTGTATATATATGTATAAAACAAATTATTATTCTAATTAAAGCCCGGTGCATGGTGTACAAATTGCCCTTGACTTTGCCATCTGAGACAAATTTCTGTGACCAAGAAGGATTTCTATTGACATGAAACACTGTACACATTGATCTGCCATGAGATCATATCGTACAATCTCTCATACAGTATATAGTGGGCTTAAGTCTGATTATTTTGACTGCAATTTAGAAAAGCTTTTCAGAATAAGTTTTTGTAGAGAACTGATAGCACTACATTTAATGTTGCCGAAGAGAATTATCTGGTGTTAAGGAGGTTTAACTCAGCACTGTAAATAACTAGTTCAGAACAGGATTGGCGGGTTTGTTGTGGTCAGCTTCTCTAACCTGTAACAAGTAATTGAGACGTAACTGGTTGGGTATAAGCAAAAACACCAGCAACTCTGATTAGTTTGCTGACCCTGATCCACAACAGAATTCGATCAGTGGATATGTAACATACTGGAGTCTGAACATCTAACACCAGTGTCATCCAACAACCAGCAGCTGTTGCACACTGGGACACTAGAGTCATGGAGTTTAATCCGGACTCTACTATAATCTCATTAAAACACTAATCTTGGTTACTAGAAGTCTTCATCTTTGTAAATGGAGAAACATAATATATATTTACTATGTTCTGTATTTACCTCACCATTACTGAATAGGGTGGATAATGAGTTTTTACTCAATTATACATATATATATATATATATATATATATGTATATGTAGACAGACAGATAGAAAGATAGATACATAGATATTGATATAGATATACAGTTGATATAATTTAGTTTATTAATTACATAATTTAATTACATAATTAGAATTAAACACAATAAAATGTATGAATCCATGTACATGTTTTGTTGGAAATCAATGGCATACAGTGCAAAAAAAGTAGTGATTTGTTTTGATGTTTCCAAGATTATCAAAAGTTTTTCCCAAGTTTTGACAAAACCTCTGTGTTAGCCAGCTAGCTACCATTATATTGGTGACCTAAATCTGTGGAATTACATCATAGTAAAATGAAATCTGCAGAACGTCTTACCACATCGACATGATCAACAAACAGTGATAATGCAGCTCTGGCCATTTAGGCAAGTCTTGAGCTTGATCAAAGTCCTTCCTTGTTCCCTTTATAGTAAGGATCATCTGTAATAGTTACAGCACTAAACAAAGACAAACGCACACACTTCCTCGCCATATAATCATGATACTGTGTTCATAGTGTTTTCTCAGAAATATCAGATATAAGTGTGCTATAAATAATTTAGTCATGCTAGAGCTGTGTTGATTATTCTAGGATGAAGAAGTAAATTAATCTTTTTTCAATGCCCTTGTGTTATAGATCGAAAGCGCACTTCTACAAACTATTTAGATGGAACCCTGAACAACCTCAGCTGTTCTACCACCATACATAATGGCTGTAAGTGTGTGTGTGTGTGTGTGTGTGTGTGTGTGTGTGTGTGTGTGTGCATATGTGAATATTTTGTTGCACTGCATACTCACAGTATGTCCTGTGGGAAAAGATAGCATAAAGGTCATGTTGCTGTATGTTGGTGTATGCATGTCCAACCATGACTGTATGCTTTTGTTTGTCTGTGTAAGTGTTTTGTGTTTGTATCTGGTTTTATTTGTGCATAAAGATCACATGACATGAAAGTAAATGCAGTGTCTATGTGTGTTTGTTTTAGCAGCGTGTGGTGCCACTGCAGATCATTTTAAATTTAGTTATAAAGGGGGTGGATCATGTCTGTGACACTGCATGCCAGGGTAGAGGGAGTTCATACTGCTAGCACGTTCCCACTCCACTTTCTCAATCAGTCTCTATAAGTGGTCTGATAGAGAAAGGTGACAGTTCACTTCAAAATTTCCCTTGTCTTCCCCAGGCCATCTCAATATGCAGCGTTCAGCATCTGTGGACCCCACAAAGATGGGCGTTGGAAAGGCCATCGCTGTCCTCACCTCTGGAGGAGATGCACAAGGTGAGGAAGAGTGTATTTGTGTGTATGGGCCTTTATGGAGGCCAACTCCGTGGAAGTAGGGCTTTAAACAGTTTTGGGGTGCACTCTTTCATTATCTCTTCATCCTAACTTGTAATACTGAAACTAACAAGTCTTAAAAGATAACTTTTCCACATTTTTATGATATGACAACTTTATACAACAAAACAAATAATCTACCATTGGTCTTATAATGTCAATAGATGATTTGGTTATTATGTTTCTGTACCATTCAGTACAGAAACGGTCGGTAACATTATTTAATGTTCAGTGTTACAAGATCCTTCAGGAATCATTCTGATATGCTGATTTGGTTCTCAAGCAACATATTTTACCATTATCGCAGTTGAAAACAAATTTTTTCTGTGGAAACTCTATAGAAAATTCAAAAGAACAGCATTTAGTTTAAATTGAAATATTTTCTAACATTATAAACGTCTTTACTGGCAATTTTGATCAATTTAATATGTCCTTGTTGAATAAAAATATTAATTTATAAAAAAAAAACACTGACCCAAAATGAATTGGAAGTATAAACACTATAACAGTATAAAATTCCATATGAAAATGTTTATGATACAAATCTTCTTCATGCATTTGTGCATGCATTCTAAATTGGTTCCGTTTGTTCTCTTCCTCCTCATTGTAGTGTAAATTTGGACTGCATAAATCACTGTCCACTTTTGCTATATGGAAAAGAGCAACATGGGCGTTCTGCTAAACATCTCTTGTGTTTCACAATATGAAGGAATATGTGTCTAGAATGACATGAGTGTGAGCAAATGATGACATAATTTCCAGTTTTGGAAGAACTATACCTTTGAAATTGAGTTTCGATTTTGTGGAGTGAGAAAAATGTCAGTATTCGTCATTTAGTAAGGTTTTTACCTGCATTATCAAGAGTGATATGCAGTTTCATCCTCTTTTGCATTAAAATGCAAGGCATAAAGTCAAATGTGTGTGGTATTGAATTTGGGCGTAACTTGATAGATGATAATTTGAAGTGGTTTTGTTGGTTGCTTGATTACCTGATTGAACTACCACCTCCTCATTTACTACAGCAGCCATGTTGAATGAGCAACAGGAATCGTATATCAGAGAGGTCATGAGAGGTGCAAAAGCTTTCACACTGACCTTTTATCCAACCTTTAGCAGTAGGAAAAAGAACCGACCTTTAACCTTATCTGGTACAAGCTGGAGAATAAGTCAAATAACTGTGTAATGCCAACTAGTCCTAGAAGAACCTTAACTATGGTCGTCCCATCATTCCCTCTCCCTCTCACTCAATTCCTCCCTATGATCTCTCTGTCTCTCTCTCTGTCTGAGGGGTATTATATTTAGCCGGTGACCTTTGGGGAAATGTGGTTGCTTTAGAGAGCTGGGCAATGAAGCTTGCCTGTTGTCCTCTCTGGTTCAATCTTTAAATGAAACTCGAGCCACTTAGATTGCCCTTTTCAATGGGACTTAACCACCATGTGTGTTTGTGTGACCAGATGCCAAGATAACAGGTTTAGAATAAAACCGAAAGCAGTTTTTTCTCACACACTTTCCAGTTAATTAGTAGTTAGCTTGATACGTTTCATGAACAGTCACCAAATCTTAATTAAATGTTGTCACGGCAGAGAAGAGTCAGGATCCAAGTGCGAGTGCAAAAGGTAAGGTTTATTTGTAATCACAAACAACGGAGACAACAAAGATAATCCTCGGGTCCAGGTCCGAATCAGAGCTCCACAGAGAAATCCCTTCCTCCACTGCGTTTGACCAAACCAAGGAGAAGGCTGAAGATCTGTACCCTGACTGAGCGAGAACTGGAAACAGAGACTGACAAGGAGACAGGAACATGAGGATAACGAACCGACAAACACACATTGAACAGAGTGCCCTATATAGGACTCGTTAACGAGTTGCAGCTGGCGCGCTCTAATTGAGCGCCAGCTGCAAACACTAATGAATGACGTACGCACATACAACCACATGACAAGACACAGAAAGACCGTCCGGACCCATGAACCGTGACAAATGTAATGCTTGTGACAAATTAAAGACAACCTTAGACCTCTAGTTCTGGTATGAATGAATATGTGCAATAATTATGATTCTTTAATTATTATATCTCAGGTATGAATGCTGCTGTCCGAGCCACGGTGAGAGTTGGGATCTACACCGGTGCGAAAGTCTATTTTGTACATGAGGTTTGTACATCTAAGCACATACACATAAGAAATAAAGAGTTAACGGTGAAAGATTACCATTCGCTGCACACAGAAATTGAGAATTTGTAATATTACTGCTATTAACTTATGCAGGAGAAATTCACTTTCTAATTCACTCAGCTCTTGCTCAATTCTAAATCCACTCAATATTTTTAAAGTGTATTTATTATGTACCGTGTGCATGTGCGTTCAATTATGCATCCTCCAATCTTTGTGTGCATCTAGGGTTATCAGGGCCTAGTCGATGGAGGAGATAACATCAGACAAGCAACTTGGGAGAGCGTGTCAATGATGCTGCAGCTGGTAATAAACTCATCATCTCCCTTCACCTTCATCCAGGGGCGTCACTAGACCCTTTTTACTGGGGCACGAAAGAGTTCAAACAGTTCACTCATGCACTGAATCGTTTGGAGCTGTTTCTTGCACCGTTACGGGATACTTTATAAGACAGAAAACAAAAATAGTGCTGGATGAGGTCAAATTTACCCACAGTCCATTTTATGACACAAAACTCGCAAATGTCTAATATCATTCGTGTGTCAGCTATGATGCTGCTCTTTATTGCTTGTGAACATGCAGCAAACTCTGTTCTGCAAGTAAAGACAATTTATATCCATATATCCAAAACAGTAAAGAGTATCACAATATGAGAACACTTTTTGATGGGAGGCCAGTGTCCCAGTACTTTTGAAAGACTAGAAATGTTCCTGCTTTCAACAAACATTTTTTCTCATTGTATTTATTATTGTGTACACATCAACATAATCAACCCATAACTGTAACTAATGGATGAGTGCATCAGGTTATTTGTGTATGTGTGTAAGTGATCATGTTGCATGGTATAACCTCTGTGGTCTACAAAATGCCAGAGTTCACCCAGAGACCTGCTTTTGAGACTTAGGGTAATGTTACGCACACACACACATATACACACTGCTGCCCACACCACAAATTCCAAGTGAGTAATCACATGATCCGCAGACAAATGACATCATGACAATGCTGATTGGCTGATGGCACCACAAGAGCGTGGGCAGTCTCAAACCCTTGCTAACCAGCCAAACCTTAACCACTGGTCTAGCACAGTAGACAGAGAGCAGTGTGGGTCTAAATTATCCCTCTCATATTATGTCAACACATCTCAACCACATTAACCATCCACCAGACTTTAGTATATTCCTCGGCCAACATCTTAAAGGGGTCATATGATGCTACTAAAAAGAACATTATTTTGTGTATTTGGGGTAATGAAATGTGTTTATGCAGTTTAAGGTTAAAAAAACACATTCTTTTCCACATACTGTACATTATTGTTTCTCCTCTATGCCCGGCCTTTCTGAAACGCGTCGATTTTTACAAAGCTCATCGGTCTGAAAAAGCGAGGTGTGCTGTGATTGGCCAGCTATCCAGTGCATTGTGATTGGCCGAATTCCTCAAGCGTGTGACGGAAATGTTACATCCCTTACAATATTGCGATGCCTGTGGCAACCACATGTGACGACCCCGGGCTGGACTCCACTTCGTCCATGGTGAAAGCTGATCCGGCGATCAACAGCGCAAAGTTGAAGTATTTCCTCAGGGACCAGCACGGATCAGCTCCAGGTATGACGAAGCGATATCATCCTCTTTGGAAGGCCAAACAAAGTAGTTTCGCTTTCACAACGAAACACACAGCGTCTTCACGACATGGCGGCGGTCGGCAACAGCGAGAATAAAAGTTACGCCTTCTTTCTTTGCATAAACATTTGGCCGGTGTTATGCAAATCTTCCCACATTGTGACGTAGACATGTGGGGGCTTGTTAGAGCGAGCCGTTTTAGGTAGGCGTGGTTGACTCTTAACTTTTATAAAGAATATCTCTTTGGATTTTAGACTTTAGTCTTTGCAACTTTACAGATCTTCTTTATGCACCAAGAGCATGTAACACTCCAAAGAGAAAGGAAAAATTGAAATCGCATCATATGACCCCTTTAAGTTATTTTAATGTTTAGCATTTTTTCTGAAGTGTTTGTGTTTCCTATTATTTTTCTTATTTATCTCTGACTATATTGTAAGGGTGGCACAGTGATTGGCAGTGCCCGCTGTCAGGACTTCCGCTCTAAGGAGGGTAGAGCTAAAGCAGCATGTAACCTGGTGAAGTTGGGCATCACTAATCTGTGTGTTATCGGTGGAGATGGGAGCCTGACAGGCGCCAACGAGTTTCGCAATGAGTGGAGTGAGCTGCTCCAAATCTTGCTGAAAGCAGGTAGGACCATATTACACAGCAATCATTATCAGTCTGTCATAGATATATAGAGAGAAGCACATATCTGTGTGTCTATGCTCATAGGTAAAATCACAGCAGAGGAGGCTAAACGTTCATCTCATCTGAACATCGTTGGGATGGTGGGATCCATCGACAATGATTTCTGTGGCACAGACATGACCATTGGCACTGATTCAGCTCTGCACAGGATCATGGAAGTAGTGGATGCCATCACAACAACAGCACAGAGGTATACAAACACACACATGCATGTACATATGGCACTACACAGTTGGATTCTGAACTTGAAAACACATTGATTTGTCTGTTCTTATCTCACATTTGCAGTCATCAAAGAGCCTTCATTCTAGAAGTTATGGGGAGGCATTGTGGGTATGTTGCAGTATGGATGCATAGATATGTCATTTTGTTATTGTATGTTCACATATTATCTGTTCTACAACAAAAATCCATATCTTATGCCAATCAGTGTTCTGTAATTTGACTTGATTATTGATCATAAATTCGTTGCAGTAGTATCATTACACTAGATTACCACCAGTGTTATTTTACCTTTTGTTTATAGTTGAGATACTATTAGTGTTTTTTATATATATATATTTTTTTTTTTTTTTGGGTTTTTTCCTTTTTGTTTTTAAATTGTA